AAAATAATCTTTAACTGAAGGGAGCAAATAGAAAAAGGCTTTTTTATTCTCCACTTACTAAAATATTTTCCAAAAATAATCTATTTTAGATAAGAATGGAAGAGCTAACCAAGCAAAAGTGAAATCCCTGCTATGACTGTGAACATTTTAAATATGCAAACAAAAATATCAATCACAACAGAATTTTCTTGCTTTTATAATAGGTAAGCAGCACTGCTCCTATTCAGACATGAAATCACTAACAAAAATCAAATATCAGAGTTCCCAAGATGCTTAAAGTTTTGTATTGTGTGTGTTTGTCAGTTATATTCCTGTTCATCGTTTTTAAATGCACATTTTTTTGGGTGGTAGTAGAGTTTGAACCCATGACCTCCCATATGTTACGCAAATGCTCTACCACTGAGCTACATTCCCCAGCTTAGATGTACAATTTAATGTTAATTAAATAAGGTAAATAATAATAAACTATATCCCTCAATAGCTAATAGCTAAAGTATGATTGGCCTTAATTTACAAGTTACAGTACTAATTTATAAAAGACTGTATTCTTGAAAAACTTCAAACACTATGATATATCACACAGATTCTCTATCATGTCTATAACAGAGTCCTTGTCACCTCTGAGCATTTAATAATGTCTTACCTCATCATCAAGCACTGTCAAGTTGTAAATTACTGTTGCTCTGCCCAGGGGAAAGGTGATATTTCCACTAATTGGACTCAAATCTTCTTCAGGGGGGTTTGGGCCACCCTCTACCTGCAAAGGAGTATGTGATGCCATCAATAAATACAAAGCATTTCACAAGACAGGTGAAGCGTTACGGTGGTGCCAGCTGACAATAATCTCAAGTTTACCTAAAGATGCTCTTTAAGAATTGTACAAGCCTGTACATAAGCCTGCCCTTCTAATTTAACAGTCAATGTCTATAAGGTATTTCTATATCTTGACCATATTTATGTTCAACTATATAGTTCCTAAGATATTTTTATTTTTTCTCAACCATTATATTAAATTTGAGAGGGAAACTTTATAAATACTTCTTCTTGAGAGGAAGGGTATTCAAGATTAGCAAATTCCCTCAAAAAAATGGGATCAAATACAAATCAGTTCCACCACTGACTGTGGGACCTTTAGAAAGTTATTTAAAACTCTGTGCAGCATTTTGCTCATCTTTAAAATAAGCACAAGAATTTCCATTTTGCATGTTTGATGTGAAGATCTAATAAAAATCAGTATTTCAAAAAATATTGAGTACTCAGTGCCTGGTCTTTTTCAGCTACTACTAAGAATATAGCAGTGGGCAAAGCAAAGCCCCTTCTACACGGGCCTTACAGTTAATGGAGGAAAACAAAAGATGAGAAAACACATGTGTATGTGCTAGATCATGGCAAATACTATGAGGAAAAACTCTAAGAGGATCATAACAGAGCCCGAGTGCTGGGGAAGACTGCTTTTCTGTATGCAGCAGTAATCATCGTAAGGCACACAGAGCAACACATGTCAACAGAAGGTGCTCCACAAAGGTTACTACAACTATTTAACAAACCAAAGGCTACACACACCACAGATAAGTTGAAAATACTGTAACTTTGATAGTGTATCCTTTCTATAGCCAAACTATTTTCTAATTTTCTGTATATTTATTTTT